ATAGTGATTTTGAATTTCTTTCTAAATTTCAATCATACCACTAAGAAAGCCTGAATCACAATCACCGTCATAAATATGAGGAAAAGAACATACCTAATATCTTTATGCGATCTTCATGATGGGATCTTTCTTCCTTGTTAGCAGAGGCCATGTAGCCTTGGAATTCAAATTCATCATCTTCACTTTCTGCCTCATATCCACTCCAAGCTACTACATAAGCCTTTTCCCTACTCTTTTCATAATTGGGGCATTCGGTCCTTATATGTTCACTTTCGCCACACTTACAGCATTTTGGTGGCTCTTGATCTTCGTAATCACTATCATTTCTAAGCTTACTATTCTTATGATTGTCGAAGGATCACATCTTTCTATATTTATTTTTATCGTTGCCACAATAATAAAATGAACTCCCTCTTCATTGTTTTCTTTCAAATTCCAAAAACTTTTTAAAATTCTTAGAAAGCAAATCCTTAATTTAAATTGCACATAATCCTTTATCACTTGAGATCTTTTCTAAGAAGCCTTAAATGCAAAGCTTTTATTGTTCTTATTTTAGCATTTTAAAAATTCTTATAATAATAAATATGAAACAAAACAAACGTCTACAAAAATTAGTGGGCAGCCGAGATACAATCTGGGCCCGACTCTCTTAGCTATAGCAAAGCTAAGTCTAGTAATAATGTATGCGGCTGCCCGAGCCCCCACATCCTAAGACGTGGAGAATGTTCTGGATATGCTTGAGAAAAGCCACAACATTTGTATCCACTCTTGCAGCGAATAAGAAGAAAATGGCAGGTAACCATAACCAGCCGCCATGCACAAGTCCCAACCCTTGGTATACTTTCACTGAGCAGCATCAACAACAACTCTGCCAGGCACAAAACTAGTCATTCCAGTCTCAGTCAAAGGTCAAGACCTAGTCAGATCGACACACACATCTTGCCCTCTGTCCCAGGAATAAAGCAGAAACTAGGACGAAGGTGTCCACCATGCCCATCAACCAAATCGATATAAAGTTTTCTATGCAGGAGTAGATAAAGTTTTTACCTTTTTATAGCATTTTTCTTATGCATCCATTCTTTAGGTACGCACCAAAGAATTTTTCTAACTAACTCCGCATTGTCATAGAATTTTACTAAGGCACCGAGTCTAGTTGCTAATAAATTGAATCTTACATACATATATGAGATAGACTCACCGGGATGCATCTTGAACATATGATATTCATGCACCAGTTGATAGATCATGGACTCTTTTACCTTAGTTTTTCCTTGGACTCTTTTATCTCAGTTGTTCCTTCATGTGATGTTTCCAAGGTTTTCCAGATATGATCTGATGTCTTGCACTGATTCACCTTATTGAACTAATCTGGACAATAAGCAAAATATAAGACATTTGTTGATTTAACATCATTCGAACATGTATAGGGATCATCTTTAACATCACCCACACCTTTCTCAATTACATTCCATACATCAAAAGCCATCCCTTTAAAGAAAACAATCATACGTGTTTTCCAAAAGGAATAGTTGTATCCATCAAATAATGATGGTCTATTGTAAGAATTATAACCCTCCATCTTGATAGAGTTAGGACCATGGTATTGGTATGTAAGTGATCCACTAGCCATGCTTGGTATATTTGGATGTGAGTTTCCTCGAAGATCTTTCAATATTTTCGAAGAGGCCAAGCTCTAATACCACTTGTTAAACCAAGAGGGGTCACTTTTTGAAATATGGATACTTTTGACGTAGTCAATATAAAAATTAATTCAAATTTCAATAGTGAGAAATTGGCACTAGTTTGAGTGAGCTACCTAAAGAGGTTGCCAAAGTTTTCTCTTGAAATGATTAATTTGCTTTGATAAACTTGTTCCAACTATGATAGAAGCTTTAACTTCTTTCTAATAATGGATGGAACAATGTTGAAAGGAGAGCAGAAGTAAAGAGATGAGTCGAGACACATGATTTTAACATGGTTAAGGCAATATGGCTTCACATCCACGTCTCGGAAGATAGTGGTACACATGATTTTAACATGGTTAAGCCAATATGGCTTCACATCCACGTCTCGGAGATAGTCACCACTATCTTCCGAGAAGCTCTATTATTGATATAAAAGACTCTCAAATCTAAGAAATAAAGTCAACCTTGACACCACGTGTCAAGAACCAAATAGGTGCAACTCCAAACCTATTTAGCCCTTAGCTAATACCAAGCTAAGCTACCCACTCACTCAACCAAGCTAACACTCTTAGTTTATTTTGATAGAGTAGTAATCCTCTTAGTGCAACTTCCAAGCAAACACTCACTCTTGCTCTTGAACTAGCCACAATTTCAAATACCCTACCTAACATAAAACCCGACCCATCTTGACTATCTCAACTTCCGAGATATCAAGCTATTCACACCACAAAACATGATCTCATTATTTCACTATTACAATGGAGAAGAGAACTTTGCAAAAGGTACTCTACCCTACAGAGGACTCTACAATTTATAGTGGTGGTGTAGCTCGATTTTCTTTCTTTTGTAATACTACTTATGGTAAGTGGCTCCTTAAATTGGTAAACTTCTTGTTGGTATGGTAACTCCTTTGCGGTCAAGCAATCAATTTGAATACTTTCCTTTTTTTCTAAACAGATTCTTTCACCTTTACATTGATTTGCATCTCTTGATTTTTTTCAGCATAAATTATTAACCCAGCATGGAAATACAATAATATATATTCAAATCATGTTGACCTAAAATATTAAATTTGTTAAGTCAAAACAATGATATGTTTCTATGAACTTGTGGTTTGCTTTAGTAAACTTGTGGTCTACTTTATAATACTTGTGATGCTCTTCAATGGACTTGTGATATGCTTCTCCTTCCCCTTCATTTTTCTACGTTGCTTCATGGAAGTTCAAATACAAATTATAGTTCAGTACCTAAACTTAATAGATCTTAATATTTGGTACCTACAATTAATTTTTCTCACATATAAGTCCAAATAATATTGGTGGAAAATTACATTTTAGTACATAAATTTTTTCTCTCACATTTTTATGGTTCTCTCACACATTTTCCTACCTAAACTTTAAAATTTTACAAATAGGTCCACTGTTTTAAAAACTTCAGGTGTGCTTTAAGAAACTTGTGATTTGTTTTATGGGGGTTATGGCCTACTTTAATTAACTTGTGGTCTACTTTGAGAAACTTAGTTTTAATAAATTTTGGAATGCTTAATGAAACTTGTGGTTTGATTTAACAAATTTATGGTGTGCTTATGGGACTTATGATCAACATAATTCTGATGTGTTTCATGGCAGTTGTGGTGCAGAAATGGGCATTAGGTTCGATTTTATCAACCCAAACAGACTCGGATCATATGAAACCAAACCGAATTAACTTGTGGGGTTGGAATTCGACTTCCACATAACTGATAGCCAGAATTCGGTTCAGAATGAACTGAAACAAAATTCTGTATCCCTAACCCAGTTTTAGCCCAAAAAGTTATACCCCAGCCTAATAGTCTCAACTAAGTGGCCGGCCATCCTAAACTCCCCAACCCCTAGCTCAATTAAAAGCCCACAAAAATTATTCCCTAGCCCAAATTTCTCAAATTAATTGTCGGCCCTCAATTCTCCCTACTTCTTCTCTTCCCTTCCCCCAATTCCAGTAGTCGCCATTCCTAAAATCCAACCCCCATACTTATCCAATTCGAAAACGAGAGGAGGCAAATAGGTAGGCACTCTTCGTCATCATCCACCTCCAGTTCACAGGGTGTTGAAATGATCACCATAATAATAATCAAATCAATTAAGGTTAAATTTCATTGACCATAGAATAAAATATCTTGACCAAACCGTTCAAATTAACACAAAAACCAAATTAACAAAATCCAAGTTAAATTGGTTTGGTTAATCGGATAATCGGATTAACCAAATAACATAACATTACATGAAAGCAATTTTCCTGTAAATGAATATAACATAACCATATGTTGTTACTATCATAAACTATCCATGATTATCATCATCATTCACGTTAATACACAATTCATCATCTCTGCACCTAATATAGTTAGCTTACAACAAACCTCTGAACATAAATACATACCAATACCCCTCATCACGAAGTTAAAACTCTCCTACAAAACACTTAAACTATACATAATTTGAGGTGACTGTCACGGTATTATACGTAATCCTTAAGTCTAGTAGTTGTCCAAAATATTTTGGTTTAGTAAATAGGCAGACTCATTTAATTTTTTGCCCATAATGTTTTTGTTTGTGGTGCAAAAGGAAATAAATTAGGGAATCACGAAAGTTTGGTTTGGTTGGTTGCATGGAAGTATAAATAATTATGTATATTAGGTGTATCACTAATTAGTTAATTGGTTTCATTGGTTAGCAACATTGAAACCAAACCAAACCACCTAAACCAAATAAGCTAAATTGTTTAACCAAACCAATTCTCCAAATTAATTAAATGCTACCGGTTAATATGGTTACCACGGTAACCAATCCGTTTGAGCACCTCTACCAGTTCATATTTGCTAGATCTAATATTTACACTATACTAACAAAGAAAGTGTTAAAGCCTCTTCTGTATCAATAGCTCTCATATTTCCATATATTTTTTATAACCTATACGCTCCCATTTAAAATATACCGCATATATATAAGCCCTTTTACTATGATATAAAGTATTGGTGCTTTAATGTACAACTTGAAATTGTACCATAATATTAAATGTATAAGTTCAAGTTGTACCATAAAGGAAATTGTACCCTTATGTTATGGTACAACTTTACAAGTAGAAGTTATACCATCACATAAAGATATATGTTCAAGTTGTACCATAAAGAATATGTACAAAACAATGTATGTATAATCTAAAACTATACCATACCATACCATACCATAACATTAAATATACAATTTCAAGTTATATCATAAAGCTAAAAAACTATAGTACCAATACTATATATACTGCATCATAATAAAAATGTTTGTTTATTGATTTGCAATTGTTGACGGAGATTGAACACTTTTCAGTTTTCACAAACAAAAAGACTCGAGATAATAAGTTCCAAAAGTAGCGTTAATGGCGACTGCTTCTCCTTGCGCTGCGGTGCTTGCTCAGGCAATATGCTCGCTTTCCCCAACCTTTCCGCGATGTTCCCCATTTCTATACCCAACTCCAATCACTAGCAGCAGCTCCGGTTTTGTTTCTCCGAACTCCGTCGCGCTGAGGGCCAAGAAGCAAAGATCCCTACCCCTGAGTTCGCTTTTCCACAACCCTAAGACTCGAAAGTCTCGTTCCGCTCCGACTGTCGTCGCTGCTCAGTCTAATTTCTTGAGAGGTTAGAATTACGATCTTCACGTCTTGAGAATGTTTGAATTTGGGGGTCAATGGTACTTTCTGGTTAAATCCTGTGCTCTACGGCGGAATTTTGGGTGCACAGAAGCGGAAGGCAAATGACAAAGCTATAAACAGCATTGTTAACTTTCTTTGTTTTCCCTTCTCTCTGTTTTTCACTTTGTGAACAGTTATCCAAACCGTGTGGAAGGTTGGTAAGGATGGCGTCGATGCAGGAATCGGCCTTGTGCCTGTAAGACTTGCTCTGACCTTCTCCTCTTCCAGTTGCTTTCGCAATTGAATTTCACTCTTTCTAATGGAGCTCAACTTTTCTCACAGGTCTCCATTCCCAGGCCTATTGCCAGAGTTTCTGTGACCGTTGCTTTGCTCACTGTTTCTTTCATTGTGCTCAAGTCATTCTTGTCTACAGCGTTCTTTGCCCTGGTAATATATAATCTAATCCATTTTCGTTCTGCGGACTCTGAATTACCAAATCATGTTTAAAGTACTGAAGCACGGGCGTTCTTGTCTTCTGCTTAGGCTACGATGGGGCTGGTTTATTTCCTGTTCATTGCCTTCAACAAAGAAGAAGGTCCCAAAGGAGGCACAAATTCAGATGCTTCTACTTTTTCATCAGAGGACGAAGCGTTAGAGGAAGCTAGAAGAATAATGGAGAAGTACAAGAAATAGTGCAGATGCAAGCATAGCAGCAACGAATACATGTTTCTCATTCTCCCGTATCGGTGTCATTGAAGGAGAAGCTGAACTGTCTGTTAGAAGGCAAAGTATATGCTGAAAATTCTGGCCTTGTGTTCAACACGAGTTTCATAATCAGCCGAGAAGCTCAAAAACCTGAAAGGCTCCTTCTTGGTATCAGATCAGGTGTAATTATAGATTTGGTGCTCGTTAAATAGGTTTTTGTCACCTGTTCCACTCCTAATGCTTGGCATTTGGTATTCCTTACATCTTGAAACTAGTAATGCAAGTGCTTCTGCAGATTTGGGTCAATGCCTGACCTTAAAATACATTACCTATTACTTCTAAATTGAAGCAGTTCGGATACATGGTAAAAGAGATCTGTTCTACGAAAGGAAATGGAATTCTAATTATTTCCTTGTATTTGCTTACTCAACTTCATTGTCAGCAGTATCGACGACATACAAAACGAAAATATTGCACTATGCTGATCACTTAACTGCTGGAATGTTCTTTCCATGACTTTTCTTAGATTTTACTGCTCCATGTCATTAACATAGCAGGCCCTTCCCCTTTAGCATCGAGACAAAGGCCTTGTTGATTTCTGGGGAATGCACCTGATGAGTTATGAACTTGTCGACATCCAGCTGCTGCAGAGCGAAGGCAATCCATTTCAGTAAAGTGCAGCGGAAAAGATCATTTGGTTGGAAGAAAGTGAAGAACAGTCTTACCTTGTTCATATACATTTCAATGACAGAGGGAAGGTCAGTTCTTGGTTTATAGTTTCCAAAGAAAGAGTCTTCCAATATTCTCTCATTAAGCAGGTTGATGGGTATAACAACTGCCTCCTTGATAGGCACTTCTACAAAGACTGCCACTCCCTATCCCTACATCCGTAGCAATTCATTTAACTGTATTAAATTCAGTAAACAGAGGCCTTTGTACTCGTCTTAAATTTAACTTACATCATGAACACTTTGAAATGCTGAAATCACTGCACTGGTAATGATGGTGCATTATATGCTCCTGTCAACTCCGCCATCGGTCACCTCTGCAACCACCTTTGGTAATCTTTCATAAAGAGGTTCAAGTTGGCAGGGAATGGCGATGAAGGAAACAGAGAGGAAATGGCCACCTCTTGAATTGTTTTGTCCTGGTTTTTCGGGCTCACCAACTCTTTAACTCCAAACTATATCGCTGAAAGTCCCAGTGGCAGAAGGCAGGCTAGTCAGAGTGCTCTTACATAAGGTGTGATTCTATGATGACACACAGACACATAACTCTTACCTTCCTTGAATCTCTTTGGATTCAAATTTATGCCAATGATCCTGGATGCACCCTCAGCAGCCTGAGGCCAAGGTAAAATTCATCTTCAGTATCTTTCTTCTATGTAACTCAGTAGAAAACAATTACTGATTTTTAAAATTTACTAGACCCATAGCTCACAGACCGAAGATGGCGACTGTGGAACCCTGTTTTGGTTTCCTCACATTCAATGTGGATCCGAGTCCTGAACAATAGGTCTTTTGTGGATTTTTCCATTTTTGGTGACTGAGGTTATGTGGAAAGCTTTATTGATAGGAAGAGTTATCTTTTGAGATCCGCAACTGAGAACACGCACATTGTTCCAAATGTGTCAATGGATTGATCTTTGCCAGATTACCAAATACCTGATGCAACCTGATGAATCGTAACCCACGATTCAAGGGTTTTGCTTGTAACTCACAAGTGAGAGAAAGACATTGGTGTCTATAAACCTTCGATTTATTTCATCGATGAATCGTAACCCACGATTCAAGGGTTTTGCTTGTAACTCACAAGCGAGAGAAAGACGTTGGTGTCTATAAACCTTCGATTTATTTCATTGATACGGAACTAATGTCTAATGTACATATTTATAGGCTTAGTAAAACCTAATACATAACCTAATCCTACCCGAATATCCTCTACCACCCGGCTACCCTTAACCCAAGCATACAAGGAAAATTGAAACCAAAAGGAAAGACACCCCTAGCCCAAATCCGAAAATACCCAAAGCCCATACAGAAAATCTACTCATCAATCCTCCCTCCTTGAAATCAACATTGTCCTCAAGATTGACCCTCGCCTTGTTCTTCCTCGAACAAGCACATCACCTTAGCATTACTGCACTTGCTCCCAATGGTAAAGCGCTCGTCGCAATTGCTGCTCCTCCCAGCTCAATCTCTTCCCTCCTGGCATCCCGCGTGGAGGTCCTCCTCCTCCTTGAAATCCCGAGCTTGCAGTTCTCGGCGCATAGCCTCCTCCTCCTATACCCCCTGTCCACCTCCTGCCGGTGGCACAGACCGACCAGCCTATTTATGGCACTGGATTTGGTCGTTCTTCATTCTGGCCAAGCTAATGGCGTCACGCAAGGACTAGGGACGAAACATTCGGATCTCATCAGCGATCTCAGACTTCAAACCTCCGAAATAAGTGCCCACTAGTGCCTGTTGCGTCCAGCCGACACATCGATTAGCCAACCTCTCGAACTCCTTCTGGTAATCACGCAGAGTCCCAGTATGACGAATCTGTGATAAGGCTTTGTCGCAGTTCTCTCCTTTAGTCGGACCGAACTTCGCCTACAGCTACTTCGAGAATAGCCCCCCATGAAATCGGCTTTCCGGCGTCTTTATAGGTCCGCTTCAGTCACTGCCACCACTGGTTCGCCTCTTACTCCAGGTAAAACGCAGCTAATGGCACCTTCTGATCCTCCGGAACCTCTTGGTACTCGAAGAATTGCTCGACACAAGGAAACCACGATCCAGGATCATCCCCCGCGAAATTCGTGATCTCGAGCCTCGCGAGCTTCGCCAGGAAACCTCCCCCGTCGTTGCTGCGTCCACTTCTATCACCGACCAGCTTGTCACTGAAGCTTCCCCGCACCACCGATTCCATGCAATGGGCGCCCTTGCCGACGTTGTTCCTTGGTCGAGTCGAGCTTCTCTTTTCGGTCTTCATTCTCGTCGTGCTTTTTTCCCCATACTTTTCCTCCGTACCGCTTTTCTCCCCATCATTCTCCTTCGAACTCTCCTCTCCGGACGACGAGACCGTCACTGGTCCCTTTCCCTCTCGTTGCGGCGTTAATCCTCAACCCTAGCCACTAAGTTATGCATTGCCTCCATGAGATCCTTCATATGCTCCCTGACTTCTGCAAAGCCGAGCGCATGGGCTTGCCCCAGTGCCTGCAACTCCTCCACCGCAGCTTCTAACGCGGAACATCTTTCTGTTATCGTGCCCGTACCCATTGCGATCAGATCCCGAACGGATTCGGAACCAGGCTCTTATACCAATTGATGAACCATAACTCACGATTCAAGGGTTTTGCTTGTAACTCACAAGCGAGAGAAAGACATTGGTGTCTATAAACCTTCGATTTATTTCATTGATACGGAACTAATGCCCAAGGTACATATTTATAGTCTTAGAAAAGCCTAATACGTAACCTAATCCTACCTGAATTCCCTCTACCACTCGGCTACCCCTAACCCAAACATACCAGGAAAACTGAAACCAAAAGGAAAGACACCCCTAGCCCAAATCCGAAAATATCCAAAGCCCATACCAAAAATCTACTCATCACAACTGCGTATTCACTGAAAGTAGAGGTGCCGAGGAAGTTACATATTATCTTTCCGTCTATGGAAAACTGAGATTTTCCTTCTCTGAGCATGAATCTTCTGTCAGAGTTTATTATCAGCAGGTCGCGCATGTTGCTTACCTCGGACTTGCAGTGCCTGCACTCTCAAATCATTACTACCAGAATAGCACGGTCTCCCGCCGGGAATGCAGACCCAGAAGTGTAAAATCGAAAACCAAGGTTAAATTGAAATCGTAGATTAAAATCATAAAATCGTAAGACTTTAAGGTACATATAAAAGTAAATACTTAAAACACAAGATACTAATACAAATGAATATCCTGAATAACATTCAACCACATATAACTTAATTAATTCCAAAGATAAGTTGGTTTGTTAAATAAATACAATTAATAGAATAGATTTGTTCTTGCACATAACATAAACACACAAATAAATTAGCAACTTGAAAGCTTATAGAAATCACGTAATATAGTTAGTGGTTAAGAGTAGAAAATCACATAAGATATATCAAGATTAACATCGCTCACACATAAGCATCATCACCTTCATAAAATCCTTGTCTATTTGCTTGAACAATGATATCATTATTTTCATAATTACTTGAAGTATTTTCACTATTAACCAAATTTTCTTGATGGTGCATTTAATTTATACTTTTGCATAACTTTTTTTAAAAATACAAATAGAATTTGTACCTTACATGTAATGATACAGTTCAATTTGTAAATAATAACACCGGGATTTTAATTAAGGATTGTAAAATCTTTATCTTTACACTACTATTAGTAATCAGCCCACGCTCTGCCGCAGGATACATTTGACTTGTTTAATCTTTTAATGCCGTAACACAGAGTCTTGGGCAAGCTGATTCACGAGGTTGACATCGTCTGTCTTCATTTGGGAGATCTGGATATTCACTAGTATTATCAAGCTTTGGTCAGCCTATGGACCGAGCTTGATTTGCTGACTGCTTCTTTTGTTTCTGTTGCTTCATCCGTAGAAGTGCTTAATAATTAGCTAGCTTTAGACTCATGTATTTTATAATGAATCTTAGGTCTGAGTTTGAGGACATCAGGGTTACGTTACTTCATTGAAATGTTTCTACTATGAAAGAGGTCTTGGGCCAGATGATTCACGAGGAGATGGGATTGCACAGTCAAGCCAATTTTGACATTCACTCCACGGATTCCGCAGCTCCTTCCATGTTTGCCATGGCTTCTTTTGGCCCTGGTGCCTCGTCTTCTCTCGATACTACCGAGTCAACTTCACAGTTTGTTGTTACAATAATCCCCATTTTCATCATACTCCATCCATCGAAATCATCTATCACTAATGGCGTGAACCTGGTCATCCTTTTCATTGTTGTCGAATGCATAACGTTTGTAATTATTGTAAAAATGAGATTCATGTGAATGGTTATTGCACGATTGTAGCTCGAAGGGATCTTTCTAGGCCACCTGGGTCTGCTGGCTCTTTTCGGGCTTTGCTTGATCGGCGGCTGCAGCATTCGCCAAGTCTGTTGCTACTCCTTCTCTCACGGCCAAATCTGCGGTGTCTCGTTAATGACTTTATCAGTTGATGCATGAGGTTCTCAAGGAGACAATTCCTTATGTTCTAAGTTCTGTGTTGACTACGGGTATGCCTCTACCTTCCTCTTAGTATTGGCATCTTGATTTAACAGTGTTTAACTAGATGACTAGTTGTTGTTCCTCCTTTATTGCCCTTAAACACACATTGGATGTTTTGTTACAAGTGGCTGATGGAAATTGTCTTCCTGCTTAAGGCATTAGTGATATCGTGTAGCACGGTGTTAAGCTTCCCATTGCTTTATACATTCATAATCTTGTTCCTAGTCTCGTCAGCTTTGGTTAATTAGTCAAAAATGGTTGTTGTGTTAACTTCGATTCGCGTGGTTGTATTGTACATGCCATGACCAAGGGAGCAGTGGTAGACCACGGGACTAAGCAAGGGCGTGTTTACACCTTGGAAAACTACTCACGTTTTAGTCAATGGGATGCTTGATGGGTTTTCCAAGCTGGTGGACGTGTGCATGGTGCTCATGGTTGGAAGGAGGCTGCTGCATGAGTAGCTACTTCGTCAGCTGATTGTTTTTTTTTGTTAAACTTTATATTTGGACTTGGGATTTTTTCCATCATCGTTTGGTTCATTCCCAATCGGCGCGGTTGTTGGATATATTTAAGATTCTAAGTTGTTATTTGGTGCAATTTCTTATGCTAATTATTGTGATTGTATTCATTGTGTTGAAGCTAAATTGTCGAACATTCGTTTAGTTTGAGTGCTATGGATTATTCGGAGCCTTTTGCTATTGTTAATACTGATTTATGGAGCCCTTCTCCCATGGCGTCTCATGTTGGTGTTTGCTATTTCGCGTCATTCATTGATCATGGGTTTACTTTTTGCGACATAAGTCCAATTTGCTTGGTGTGGCCAATGAATTTTTTGCGATGGTTCAGACCCAGTTCGGTTGAGTTGTCATGGTTATATGCTCTGACCCTAGTAGGGAGCTTACGTCTGGTCCTTTGCAGGAAGTATTTCTGGAAGATATACTTCCCACAATGTCGGGTTACACATGCTATTCCCTTTCTGGGTTGAAGTTGTTCATATGGTGGTTTATCTGATTAATCGGCAGCGAACATTAGTTCTTCATCACAAGAGTCCTAATCAGGCTCTATATCAGCGTCTTCCGCAGTATGATTGGCTAATTTTTTGTGAGTATGTGTGTTATGTTCTTCTTCCTTACCGTGGACGACATAAACTTGCACCTAAGGCTAGTGTTCTTTCATTGGATATAGTGAAAAACATAAGGGATATGTTTGCTACAAAATGGTGAATCGTCGGGTTTGTATCTCACGTGATGTAATTTTTTTCAACATCTATCGTACTACTCTACCTCGTCTGAGGAACATCGAACGACTACTGATTTATTTAAGCCCATGGCTGATTTTCCTACTACGCCTGCCACCAACTCGGCAACTGTGGATCCACCTTCCACATTGCATTGTAACTTGTCCATGTCCGCCACTAGTTCTGCTTCCTCGGGTTTAGGGTCCTCTTCTCCGCGCCACACACTTCAGTCTAGTTACCTCGAGCAGTTCTGACTCTAATCTCGATTCTCATCTTCCACTCAAGGATTCGTCTCCCATGGTTCAGCGTCATTGCTTTCTCTTCTAATAATGTCCCTATTTCGGCCTCGTATAAGCAAGCTCATGGGCATGTGGGTTGTGATGCAGTAATAGATGTGGAGTTGCAGCATTAGAAGCATCCCACACATTGGATATGGTTCCTCGACGTCTCGAGTACTCTATTATTGGCTCCAAGAGGGTCCACACTATGAAGTGGAATCCAGATGACATAATTGAGCGCTACAATATGGGCGTGGTAGATTAGGGATTTAAACAAGAGTCATGTATTGATTATGAGACATTTGCCGCAGTTGCAAAGATGCAGACGATTCGTCCTTTTACTGGCTGTGGCTGCTATGGTGTGGGTGCAGTCTGAAGTAGGTGGATGTGGAAAATGGATTCCTTCACGAGCATTTGAAAGAAACAATATATATGGAGTGTCCTCCTGGATATTTGAAAGGTGACAAGTCCAAAGTGTGTTTACTGCAACATTCTTAGTATGGTCTGAAGCAAGCGTCACAGGCGGGGTTTGAGAAATTTCATACATTGGTTCAACAGGTTGAGTCTGTTTAGAGGGCTGGCTATTTTGTCCGGGTTTTTTTTGTTTTACCCGAAACCGGACTGTATAACCTGGACCGAGACCGGACCGGGATCGGATAGTAAACAATCCAATCCAATCTTTGGGCTTAGATTTGAGGTAAAAAACCGTTCATGACCGGATCGAAAACTGGATAAAGACCGGATAAGAGAGCTCAACACCCAAAACTTAAGGGTAATTGCATAAACGGTCACTAACCTTTGCACTTAGTACAAAACTTAACCAATTCCTCACCCTTTTAGGCCTTAGGCCACTCAAATCCCCACAAGCTCAATATAAAATCAAGACCGAATTGGAACCGGACCGAGTCAAGATTGGACCGGATAAAAAACGGACTGTATCCAATCTTTGGTCCTTATATTTTCAAAAAGACCGGACTGGACCGGATTAATTTGGGCCAATTTAACCGCACCGGACCATATAGCCACCCGTAGAAGCAATGGACCTTCCCTATTTACCTGTCAGACTATTCATGGGTTAACGGTTCTTCCTATTTACGTGGATGATATGGTTGTTAGTTGTGATGATGTGGATGACATCCAGACATTGACAAAAAAAACTCCATTTGGCATTCAATCTGAAGGATTTTGGAGATCTTTCTTACTTACTAGGTCTTGAATTTTATTAGTCAACTACATGCTTGTTGGTATGTCAACAAAAATACAATGTAGACTTGCTTGAGACGACGTATATGGAGGATTGTGATCTTTGTGTAATGCTTAGGAACAAAATCTCAAAGTATGGAAGACCGATGGTGCTTGGTGGCTGATGGTTCAATTTATCATAATGTGGGGAGTCTTATCTATCTTACGCATACACGCCCGTACATTTGTAATGGGGTTCAGATTGCGAGTCATTTCATGCAAGCACCTCATATGATTCACCTTGTGGCTGTTAATAGGATTCTTTGCTATCTGTGTGGTATGTAGGAGGTTGGCCTCTTCCTTCCTGCCTCTAGTACACCTACTCTTGATGCCTATGCAGATGAAGATTACGCAGGATGTTTGGATACTCGTCACTCTACCTCACACTAGTGTGTTCAGGTGGGGAAGTCGTTCATTTCTTGGTGTTGTAAGAATGAATAGGGACTGTCTAAGTCGTCTACAGAAGCTGAGTATCGCTCTATGTCTGAGGTGACTTCTGAACTTCTTAGGCTTCTGCGTTTGTTGTATGAGATTGGTGTCGTGTGTAAGACTCCTATGTGCTTGTATGGTGACAATACAAGTGGCATTAGGATTTTTACCAATCATGTTCTTCATGGTCGTACGAAGCATATCGAGGTTCATGCGCATTATATTCGATAGCTGGTTTTTGAAGGTCAAGTGAAACTGTCGTATATTACGTCGAAAGAGCAAACTGCACACTTGCTGACCAAATTCATAGCTATTGTCTATCATTGGTTTCTATCTTACAAATTGATGTTCGAAAGCGTCATGAATTTGAGGTAGGTTGTTAGAAGTGTAGGTACTGGATTGTAATTAACCATTTTATTATTTCGGTTAATTACAATGTCATTAGGGTTAGCCTGCAGATTGTATATATATGTTGATTAAGTCGTTCTGTAAACCTTAAGGACTTTGAGCTATGTAATTCGTTTGACTCCGAGTCCCTCTATGTGTATTAGTCTCAACGATATTCGTTTAGGATACCACGTAAATCTCGTGTTTATTTATGTTTCGATTGATATTTTGACATAGTATCAGAGCCTTCTGTGACCAAGAGGTCTTATATTTGATTCTGATGAACCACATTTGCGAGGGTGTGTTAGTAAATGGGTATAAGATCTATTAATGAACTTTTAATAAAGATATGAATTATTGTGACCAACTGGTTCTTGACAACGCGCCAAGAAATTTGGGTCACCAGTGAGGACAATGTAAGTTTAGAAGCAACGTTAAAGAAAAAAAAAGGAATAGAGTCAGAACCACCAGCAGCATAGAAGATTTGAAGGGAAGATTCAGAGGTTTCCAAAGTCATGGCAGCAGACAAGTTTTAGAAGATGAATTAGGGATTTAATTTGGGGAAAGGAGAAGAAAGATTAGAATAGCTCGTTGGAGGGTAGGTTAGGCTCTTATATAGCACAGAGTAATAGATGTAATTTGTTATTAAAATGATGAGATGTATAGATACAATCAACAACTAAAACAATTAAAACTTGGAATAATAGAGTGAGTTGATTAACCCCACTAGGCTGATCCCAAGGGAAATTAAAGGAACATCACAATTGTACAGAATAACAACACACGGAGAAGGGGTAATTAACTCCTAATAATAGAGTGGTAATGGGTGTGTACGTGATACACATAACAGTACATCGAAGAAAGAATATCATTTTGATTTAATATATCTTTGCAATATAATACTCCTCCTGCAGTGGGAGATTTTATACAATTATAGTACAATAGAAATGTTCAAGTGATAAAAAGACAAAATGAGAAGAAGAAAAAAGGAGGACGGAGTTACAGATGGGGCAAAAAAGAAAACAAAGTGAATGAAAAACAACACTGCAGCACTTGTAACGAAGATAAAAGTGCAAGAGGTCGGCCGAGATCGGTCCATACTCGAATCTTACATTCCGGACAAATGGCGATACTGAGTTCAACAAGGGCAGTTGGGCATCCCTTGCTTGTTTTGTTGTCGGGGTCGAGTTGGATGTGCAATGAATTTCCATAATTTACCGTTGTTGACATTCCCATTCGTGGTGACAGTACTAATTAACAACGGTGGCGAATTGAGAAATATACTAATTAAGAAGAAGAGATAGGGAAATTGAGTTGAATTTCTCACTTGGGTTTTCTTTTAATTTTGTTACTTAGGGTGTAATTATATGATTTTGTTCGTTAGCTAGGGTGTTTGTTTTGTTTAATCAACATGAGCGGCCCCTGCGACAAGCCAAAGCACCGGCAGTGGAGGTCATCATGCCAACCAAGGATGATGGCTTTGCTCCTAAGCTGGAAGCTCTGGCGTAACTGGCTCCTGCTCCTGCTCCTGATGTTCTGAAGTATGCCCCATTCAGAAACAAATCCCCTTGTGATCTCCAGTTCCAGCTCTTCCACGTCCCACCGTTGGTGTCCGCTCTCTTTGTCACCTGCCATTTTCATCATCCAATATTTGGTGAACGTCTCAACCAGAGCAGCAACAAACACAAGAGAAAAGGCAATTTGTACCAAGTCATCAAGTGTTGCATAATCTAAATACCTCCTTGGCAAAAGGGTTGGCAGGAGCAAGGTATCGGTTCCCCTGGCTGTTAATGGTGGGATTCGCACTCCCGCCAATTGCGTACATTGCCCAATGTGTGTAGTCGTTGTTCACCACATGGAAGTAGCCGTGTCGACACCTGCCCACCAATATTATCAACTTTGTCCCGTCCGTCTGTCCATTAATCCAATTCAATTAGAACTAGATCTTACTATCTCATTTGTTTACCTTGGCATCCTCTGTATGAGTCCTTCCCCAAAATGATTGTAAGCAATCGTCACCTGCATTTGCTTGTCCCTCGTGTAGGAATCACTGTGTCCCAATAGGATCACCTGTTACGTATGTATGTCGATCAAATTCACTTCACCTCAAATTCACTAGCTAGCTGTATGTATATAGTAATTGGTTCCCCCGGCCCTTTGTAAATCTCACTCAGCTCACCTCATTGTGATGGGTGAAGTAGTTGTTTGAAATGGTAATGGCGGTGGATCCCATAACGGCATCAACCAGCCCATCAGCGCAGCTGGAGAGAGAATTATGGTCGACCCAGATGTGGCTGGACCCGAAAATGGAGATCCCATCTCCGTCGGCCATGGTCCTCCATCCGTAGTGGGCAGGGGAGCTGCGCACCATGGCGTTTCCAGTAGGCTTGCAGTCGTGGATGTGCAGGCCGTGGATGATGACGTTGGTGACGAATTGGATTGTGATGCAGCCTCCATTGGCAATGTGGACGTTGGCTCCCCTGCCGTCGATGGTCTTGAAACTGTTGATGATCAGCTCCTGCTTCAGCGTGATCACCATGTCTCTATTGAACACTATCCACAGCGGGGTGTCCTGAATCACGGCGTGGCGGAGAGTCCCGGGCCTCGGATTTACAGGGTCGTCATCACGAGGATCCGTGACCACGTAGTACCGGCCATCTCGGCCACCGATGGCGTTGCGGCCGAAGCCGATAGCGCAGTTGGCCAGGCGTTTCCTGTGGGATTGCCAGTAAGGGTCGCATCGCCAGCAGTCGTCGATTGGATTGCCCGTGGAACAAGATAAATATCCCAACTTCCTTCTCGCCGTACTGTTCCTAATGCTCCTGTGAACAAGATTCATGGTAACCAATTAGGAAAACATCTCTTGTCACTGACAAAACACCTAATGCCAATTTATTCACGTATTTCTCTACTCATTCACGTCATTTGGTGTGTATTCACGTAATACTATGTTTATTCACGTAAGAGTGTAAGTTATTCTTGTAAATGAAAATTCGGACTTTTTGCCCTAATAATTTGTATTGGCTATATTTTATGGAATCAAATTTGGATTCTCAATTAGTCTGTAAAAATAATCATAATCTACACAATGACATCCATTTTGATATATTTTAACGTCTAAAATTTAATTTTACAATAGTGTGAATAAATAACAATATGCGTGAATAAACACCAGGTTGCATGACTAAACAATATTGGTTGCGTGAATAAGCAACACTCTTACGTGAATAATGCAAATATGACGTGAATAAATGAAAAAATACGTCATTTAGATGTTCTTGTCACATATCTTGACAAAAAACTTGATTCAACAAATTAATTAACAGCTAATCTAAGGAGTAGGGAAATATTATTATTATTTAATTAATAGCGCAAGTAAACCAAAGTAAAAAACAGTGTTCATTACGATTAAATAGCTAATACCCCACTTTTACCGGAATTGATTTGGAAAAGTTACCTTTTAGCTTTAGGAAATATTAAAAAGCCCCAGCTGATTTGCGAGAATTACTTTTAGTTTTAGGATATTAATATTATATATTAAAAGCACACATATCCATTACTAATTAGTTTATTTCCTTTTTCGCAACCGGTATTGTTCAAGGAGTTTTATCTCCTACATCTAATTTTATTATAAGCTCACGATTAGTTAACTTTGATCGTTTAATCGTACGGTATTTTCTAAAATTTGATTTTATTCTTAGATTAAAAATTATAAAATATTTATGTAAGAACGTTATATAATAAAAAAATTTATCTCTCTACATCTAATTTTATCATAAGCTCATGATTAGTTAACTTTGACATAACAGCTTAATCATATGTTATTTTCTAAATTTTTTATTTTATTATTAGACCACACATTTGGAGAGATTTATGTAACAACGTTCTATAACAATTAGATAAATTAAAAATATCAATGTTTGATTATAAGACTGCAAATTCTACAACAGTATTTTATCTTCTACATTCAATTTTAATTACTATAAATTCATGAGTAGTTAACTTTGATAACAGTTTAATCATATGTGACTTTCTAAAATTTTATTTTATTATTAGACCACAAATTATGAAAAATTTATGTAACAACGTTGCATAACAATTACTTATTTAATGATCAAAACACTACGTAAAGCTAATGGACAATTAATCACTTTTCATGTATCAATTAAACAAAAATAATAAGTCTTCGATAATGATTAAACACTACGTAAAACTTTGTAGGGATAGTTATTATTATTATTATTATTATTATTATTATTATTATTATTATTATTATATATCACTTAAATAAATGATGGCGTGTGTTATTCTTAATGCTTAGGACATTATGTGAAACTTACGTATCTATTTATCTTAATAATTTTATGAATTATTTGGTTTTGACTAGATTATTAATTTCTTACCGCCGTGGAGCGCGGGCCAAAAACTGGTAATGCTTAATGGCATATATAATGTGGGAGATGTATACGTATGTATGAATACGGTCCATAAGGAAGAAAATGCTGCAATAATGGTTTGTATAATATTTCTCTGCCTGGTAAGGCATTTTCTTTGCACATTAAGGGGAAAATGTGGTGAGTGGAGAACTAATTCCTGGCCCCCGAGAATCTCGAAAGTCACGTATAAATAAGTTGGGATCGTGTGTACAAACTATAATTTTTATATAAAACATAAACCGTGCAAACTTAACACATAAAGTTTCTCGTAACCCAGCAAACTATTTTATCATCCAAAGGTCTTGGGCTCGATGCCAAAGGGAAGCACTTTACACCTTTCTACTAGATTAATTCTTTTTTGGTTAAGGGAAGCCGTTTACAGCTTTCCCCTAGGTTAATTACTTTTATGGTAGTTTACATAAACTACAACTTCTCCTTCCTTTTCTTTTATAGTAAGCGAGTATTAGATACTTTAGTCATTAACTTTATAATTTTTATTTTCCTTTTTAAATTGTAGTTTACATCAATTAATTAACGCTTTTGCTTCTTGAAATACATTATTTTTTCTTTTTCTAATTTATAGTAAATATAATGTGAAAAATATTTTCTAATAAAACAAAATTAGTATAAAAATAGATTTTCAAACCTAAATATTTTAATTATTAGTATTTGTTTTTAGTCTTTTGCGATAATGTATTATGAAATCCGGTCCCCCGAGCACTAAATGCTAGCTCCGCCCCTGCCCGCCCTCTATCGGTGTAACAATAAAAGTGGGTCTCGTTTAATATCTCTTTGGTCTCAAAATAGGCAGCTGCTAATGGTGCCAGAAATGTGAGGAGCTGGGGATGGGGAGGAAGCTATGGCAGAGAATGAGGAACAACTGATGGCATGGGGGCTCTGGTGAAAGCAAGAAAGAATATAGTTCCAAGTTTAATTTTGGGCTGCCTTTATCATGGAAAGAAAGACGGCAGTGAAGATTGAGCAATTATGGTTGGCTCGCATTATATTACGTCTTTGGTTGGACAACATATATAATATAATATACCATGCAATTCCTAGCTTACTGGAAAATAATAAGGTATCAAAATAATAATAATAATAATAATAATAACAGCTATTATTATGTCATGTGTCTACAACTAACTAACTAACTAACGTGCGGGGTTGTAAGTAATAAGCGTTGTTTGATATTTTGGAGAGGCTGACAGCTAGGGGAGAGAAACACACATAGACACCAAGAGAGTAGACAAGGTACGCCAAGGTGGCGAGAAAACTACTATAAGTTATAAGAAAAAGAGCACATCTGAAGAAGACAGACGAGTGTAGTAGTGAATGCAACGGTTTAAAACTTGGGACTAGTTGGCTGGAAATTTTTACTAAACTAAAATCAGATAAGTTGATTTTAATAATTAGGTGTTATTAAAGTGATTTGGATTTGGGACTTCCAAATTCAAAATTAATACTTGTACAACTAAATCAATCTTTTCTTAGCACATTTTCTTTTATGTGTACTCCCCGAATTTGTAAGTCTATTACATTGGTAATGGGAACACGGCCTTAAGGACATGACAAATTAATCAAAGAATTCCTCCTCTGTTTCAACCCAATTACAATAGCATACCACTACATAAAAAATCTTTTGTAGCGACATTTTTATTACGATAATTTTGAAAATTGTCGTTCAAATGCGAGAGATAAATAGTTGTATCGTCACTTATTTGAAATGTCGATAAAACATATTTTAAAGCGACATATGTTGCAATATTTTTTGTAAATGTCGAAACAAGATGAGTGTATTGCATCATTTATGAAAAATGTCATAATACATATATTTTCTAGCGACATAAGTAATGACAATAATAGAAAATGTTGGTTAATCAACAAACTAGATGAGGATATAACGTCATATACAAAATATGTTGGAACAACTAGTAAATAAAATCCTACTAACGACATTTTTATCCCGACAATTGTGAAAAATGTTGGTCTAGTGTGGAGACTAAATAATTATGTCATCATTTATACAAAATGTCAAAAAAAATATTTTATAACGACATATATTACAATAGTTTTTCTAAATGTCGGTTAATCATCAAATTGGATGAATGTATGGTGTCAAGGAGAAAATTAAACAACCTTTGAAGGTATGTGATTTGTTTACCATTCACAAAAGACACAAGAAATAAATAAAAGAAGGAATAAAATTAAGAAATTACTCACTCGTTCACTAACTCAGCAATCTCCTCCGGGTTGTCCACAGCATGCCCATTTCGCATCTCCCCCCTGAAAATTGATGAATTATTGTTCCAGCTCTGCAGCAGCTCCTGCGGTTCCTCCTTCCTGTGAAGATATGAATATTAATTAGATTGTGAAACAGATTTAATCACCTCCAAGACATGCAGTTCTATTCTACCAAATCGCGACTAAAACTAAGTGAAACAGAGGGGAGGAGGTAACGGAGAAGAAAGCGGCACGGATATCCGGCGTTTGAAGCAGAAAAATCTGAACATCTAGTCACACCGGAATCGGGAACAGAGCACAACGAGAATGTACGTACCGTACGTACGTACCTCAAATTGACCGGCTGTTGCTGTTCCTTTTCTGCGGCTGCTGCCACGAGAACCAGAGCCAAAACTAGGAAGAATGGCGCTAATGGGATATGCGGAAGCCTATACGCCATTTGCTTCCGATCGAATTTGGGAGAATAGCTTGAACAAGGAACGGCGCTAATTAAGAAGAGGAGAGGGAGATAGTGGAGGGAAAGCTGTAGCAGCGACACCCCGGCCCCTTTTATAGCGAACAACAAACAACTCCCCAACGTGGGATTTATCTCTAATCATTTAATCCAATTTATGCCGGTCCGCTGAATTAACCCTCTGATCTGAATGACTTTGAAGGCTCAACTAAACCGCCACCGAATGACTTCCCTGTTTATTTTTTTCGTTTTTATTTATTCTTTTCAACTCTGCCATCCCACGAATGTGGGCCTGTAAGCTTCTATATTCCATGCAATTTTATTTTATTAAAATAAAAAAGCAATATTTTCCTATTCTTTAGAGTCATATCAATTTGTATTACCAAAAAAAAAATCATCAATTAGGGTTTTTTTTATTGTCTTAACTTTAATTAATTAATTAAATATTTTAATTATTTCTTTAATATTTTAATTAGTTCTTTCATGACAATTGAACTCAAATCCATATTTGTTCAAACTAATTCGACCTGGTCAAAGCGAGTTCAACAACGTGTTGACGAATTTTGGGTCGGGCACGAATTTTACCCGCTTTTTTGTAATTAAAGGATTGGAACGAGTGTTAATTTTGTTAAAACTCGCCCCCGCTTTATCAAGCTGGTCAAAACAATTTGAACTCAATGTTGTCGAATTTTGGGTCGGGGGCGAGTTTTACCCACTTTCGTAATTGACGGGTTGTGTTTATTTCCTTTCCAAATCCATGTGTTCAACCTTATTTGACCCGGTCAAAGCGAGTTGGACCCCTTGTTGATGAATTATGGGTCAGTACGAATTTTACCCGCTTTGTAATTGACGAATTGGCTCGAGTGTGTTTTTTTCTGTTGGTTAAGAATGACAATTGAACCTAACATGACCATAAGTTTTATTTGTTTTCTATGTTTCTAATCCTTTTATTTTATCTTTTCAAAGGTTTTCAAACCGCGGTGTTGGCGAGTTTTGCGTTGGCAATGAGTTTTACATGTTTCTAATTTACGGGATTGTGTAGGTGCGATTTTGTTAAGCGAGTTGAACCCGGTGTTGACTTGTTTTGCTTCGGGAACGGGTTTTACATTATTTTCTAATTAATGAGATTTAGTCGGTTATTCTATCTTCACAAAGGTTGTCAAAACCGTGGTTTTGATAAATTTTGCGTCGACAATGAATTATGGGATGGAGCATCTTGGGGAAGGTTTTCTACGACACACATTCCCGCTTTTTTTTAAAAAGTTGTTGGCTTTGGTCCACCAACCCCGGGTCTTCATTGCTATTGTCGCTCTCGTAACTGGGTGGTCTTTGAGGGTAAACAGTTTGGGATCTCAGCTTTGATGCGCCAATTTAACCAGCAAAATGAGGAATGAGTTAGTCTGCGGATAGACCGTGTGCTCCAACCGACCCTCCTCCCGCTACATCACTTGACCCCTGGTGGGACTCCCGATGTCGTTTGTATGTGGGATGGGGCTACAAGAAGTGGATCCCATTCGGCAGGCGAAATGATGATTATGACCCAGAATAGGGGTATCCTTTGTGTTAATTGGGGTGCAGTTCCCATTGATTGATGATCCTATGACTGTTGAATTGTTGGTGCTCCGTGAGGCGATTTTATGATGTTTAGACTATGGCTTTACGGAGGTGAGATTTGAAGGCGATGCCAAAGTGGTCATTGAGAAGGTGATTCAGGCTAATGCTAGAGATTCGCGGATAGGGGCAATTCTAGAGGAAATTATGCAAATTTTGGAAATTCATCCCGGTTTTAATGTTCAATTTGTAGGGCGGCGTGGCAATAAGGAAGCCCATTCGGTTGCAAGAAAGGCCATTGCATTGTACCCGACTGCAAGTCGTTTCTTTAATTTCCAAACCTGACTGTATTTCAAGATGTAACTACCTATTTTTCAATCAATATATAATTTTTTTGGAAAAAAGCACCAATTATGTGTTCCTTTTTAATTTGGTGGCCACTGGCAAGACATTGTGCGCATCTGAACCCCTCTCATTTACTTTCAGTTGTTCATGACACCTCCAGGCTCCAACTCGCTATCTGTAACAAATATCTCTGGGTAACAAAAACTAAATAAAACATTTACACCACAAAAGTTAAAAATGGTAAAACAATTTAATATTTTATATCAAAGGACTTAGAAAACTATTCTGGTTTTTAAAATTTACATGTTGAAAAACTTAGTTATTCAAATATTAGATTAAAGAACTTAGGAAAATTTTCTACCAAAAAAGACATAGAAAATTTCTATGAAGGTTAAATACATAATTGACATTTACATACAGTTTGGTTTAAATTTATTCTAGTGCTTTTGGGATTCATTTTGAAATAAATTAGTTTTTTTTTTGTTTTGTTTGGAATATAAATTATTTCATTTTCATTCTAAATTTTTAGTTATATGGAATTCGTAGTTTTACAAAATCTGAAAAATTGAAGGGTAATTTTCAAATAAATTGCACAAGTATTTTACTAATTATAATAAAATGACATAATTATCCTAAATTATTAAAGAAATGTTCCTATATATAATTTGTCGCCAATAATCCAGATTTGCGCCCCTAACCATTCTCACTCAACCTCTACCTTACCTAATGTATAAGTTATAATCATTGTTTGACTATATTCAATTTTGCTTGCTTTCCGCTGACTCTCTCGGTTTCATTCTTATGTTAAGCTACAATGCCTCTACTATATTCATCTTTTTTGCTTTGCCGGATTGGTTGGATAATAACTTTAAAAATTGTGTTTTAAGAAGACGGATTTTTAATAAGTAATAACAATGGTGTTTCTACTTAAAATTAATAAGAGTATAGTTGGAACTAAGAATTTATTTATTAATTTCCTACCAATTTATTGGTAATTTTTCAGTATCGTGAAGCTCTTTCCAAAAAAAAGTATAATGATTTCTGAAATTCTAAAAAAAAAAAAATATAATGAAGCAACTCATACGTGGTTTCTGAAAACCTCCTGGAGATGCATGCATTTGCAGTGCTCTCTTCGCCCGGAAATTGGTCTCTTATTTGTTCCCCTTATCTTCTCTTATCGTTCACTGTACGATATCCCTTATTTTTCTTGTACATGGTATCGGACTATCGGTAGTGGGAGTTTGGATGTTTCTAGTTTAGAGAATTGTTTCAAAAGTTGACTCTGGATGATATTTTCATTTATATAAATGATTTGATACCTCTGCGTATATATGCAAGATAATGCGATGGAAATCCAACAACATTTCATCCCTGCACGTCGAAATCAAAGGATATAATTATTTTTTTCTCCATGTAACTGATAATTGCCTGTGTTACGTAATTTGGCATTATATTGTCCTTCCAACTCCAAGAAAGATTCCCCTCCAACTCCAATCCACATGTCCATACACAGAGCAGGTACAAACACAAGTCTAATAATATAACACATATATGATTAGACTGTCAAAAATTGGATAACTTAATTAGTATTCCGGACGGCGAGGTTACGGATTCTGTTTGCCGCGAGGGCAGTGGAACGCGGGCTTAGATCTGTCACGAAGAATTGAACCATGCTTCATAGTATCTATTTGAGCCTGGATACTTTGGAGTCCAATTCTCCAACAGCATTCAAGTGCAACGAGTTTCAGGCACCTGACCTGTACACACGCACCCGGTGGAGGGCGTCTGGCCCCGTTAGTTTTTCGACGATCAAGTCAGTTTGGATCTTAAAGAGAACTATCAAACTCTAGTGTTTTGTGAGAGAATCCAACCTGCGTAATTGATACCTACCGACACTATATATACTCACCCAACCCTGGACCGGGCTTATTCCACCCAGCTCCACGTCAGCATCGCATTTAATGCTCTGTACTTCTGTTAGGCTGGGCGCCCCGACCAACATGTCAAGCTTCTGATAGATGTAAGGCGCCCAGACCGTACTCTCTTGGAGTTTTCCACACCATGTCCCCTATCTTCCTTTATCACACTTGGGCTTGGCTTCGCGGGCAAACCCGTGGGTTGGGCCCATGGAATATCCTTCTTCCTCCTTATTGGGCTGCCCTAGGCTTTCGGTTGGGCCTATCTTTGTAATTCCTCCAACAATTGCCTCCCCCCCCCCCCCCCCAGGTTAAGCTCTCAAGTCTTCAAAAATTGAGGGTCTGACTACGTTCGAGGGTCTGATTACACGAGTCTCCCCTCTATCGTCTCGATCTTCCCTTTAGAGGCGCCCCGGCTTCGATGAATCTCTCGCGGGTCCATACGCCATTGTCCGGAAGGCGCCCCGCAGATACATTCTACTTTTACTGGCACCTTGGCGCTGCTGAGCTAGGCGGCTCATACCTTTTGCTCTTCTTCTTTGTTGCGTTGGGCGCTCGTTATCGCGTGCTTTTTTTCCTATCGCATACCGCCTCGCCTCACCATTGAGCTGGGCGCCTAGTGATCATTAGTCTTTTCCCATGTTTTTCCCTTACGTCCGCTTGGTTCTCGTATCTTCGCTTAGTGGGACGCCTGATCGTTACGCTGAAAATGCCCACATTTTCTCGTTACAGGCGCCTCTGCTTTTCTTCCTTGTTCGCCTACGCGCCTACCTTGCGTGCTCCCATTGTCAACTATTGATTTTAACCCTTCTTCGCCCTATGCGCCCGAATTGCGCGCTCCCCTTGTCCTCATCTCGGGCGGTTTTTGAAATTCAAACACCCGCTCGAGATCGTGACACATGGCGATTGGGCATGGATCTCGAGGCGTGCACCCTTCCCTTCCTATAAATACTTCCCTTAGCCCTCATTTTGTCTCCTACCTGTTCAGAGCAAGCACTCTCTCTCTCTCTCTCTCGTCCTTTCTGCCTCACCGAACCAATCTACTAGCACGGGTGCTGCTCCTGAGCGAGGCGCCCAGTTGAAGCCTGGTAAGCGCCCGCCTCTAGTTTAATTTTATCGTTCTATTTTGCATCATTGGTTGTTTCTTTTGAGACATGGGCGCCGCTTACCTCATGTTGCAGTTGTGCGCCTGCTTCGCCTTTTGCTTTTAGAGAGGGCGCCTCCGTCTGCTGGGATATCAACCGCGTCCACTTCGGGTTTCATGCCAGCGGATGGATCGTACAAAGTCACTACGTGGGAATAAACTTTTCCCCAGGACTACGTGCCACTCGACACTTCCGAAATGTCGTTTGATGTGGTCGGGCCAGACCACTAATCGACCGTGACGCCTGCGCGAGTGAGGGAATTGGTTACAGGCTTGCAATTTTCTCGGGACTGGTGGTATGTGTCTGCCTCCCCGATTGCCAGAGTTGGGTTGTGCGGTCCCAAATGGATCGAGGTGTATAAGGAGTACTTTCCCTTCGGGTACGGTTCCTGATCAACCCCATTTTGGAGGGGATTTTGGCTACTTGTGGCTGCAGCTTGGGGCGCCTATCACCCTCCGTTATTCTGGTGGTGATTTTGTTCAAGCTAAAGTGTAGGGTGCACAACGTGAGGCCGACATATAACTTGTTCAGATACTTTTTCAACATGGTGTCACTTGACAACTACCTATCCATTCAAAAGAGCACGAAGATTCTTTTCCACTTCGTGGTTAGATGCCCCTAGCTAGGGAGGAGTTAGTTCAACGAATTCTTTTTCATGAATGCATATCGAGATTCCTTCTTCGAGAGTGGGGCCGCCTTCTTGACATAATGGGAGCTTAGAAACGAAAAGAATTTTAACATCGAGGTTCCCCTGTCTCTGGACGAGACCTAAGGCGCCAAACTTATATGCACTAACCCCATTAATTTGTGAGTGACTGCTAATCGCGCCCCAATGATGGTGTGTGGGGCGCCTTTGATGCTTAGTTTGCCTTGTTTTCGTCATCCAATCGTGTTCTGACTTTCCGTTTCACTTTGTGCAGGGTCGGATTTATGAGTATTGCAAATCTCATGAACAGCCTCCTGGCTATGCTAAATGCTAGGGTGCGCGGCTCCACAACCCTCCAGGCACCCCCTCCCCCCTTGCCAAAGAAGAAGAAAGCGAAGAAGACTACGAGTGGTGCCGGTCAGAGTAAGGCTCCCCGTATCACGATGACCGCGAGTGTATCATCTTCTACCCCGGCTGCGGGCACGACAGAACCAGTTGACGACCAGCTCACTTTTGATGAACCTGCTGAGAAAGAAGAAGAAGAAGAAGAAGAAGAAGAAGAAGAAGAAGAGGCATCTCCCTTCGTTCGTCGCGAAAAGAGGTTAGGCGCCCCCTTTCTCATGGCGGGAAAAAAGCTCGCCCCATTGAGATAGAGAAGGCATAGCTGTCGCGTCCAGTCAGGGTGGGCGCCCAGGTGGGATTGGACGAGGATGGAGCATTACAAAGACTCGGAGGCTAGGAAGAACCTATTTGCAAACCCCTGCCTGACGAGCATAGGCATATTGAAGTAGAAGCTCGATCGCGATCACCCGAACCAGGCTTGGGATTTGGGAGACATGGCCAACTTTGTGATTGCGGACATGCTCGGCAAGGGTGAGGGGGAGCAGGCGCCTGATACACCTCCGACAGCAGGTGCATCTCCCACACCCGAGGATGAGGCGGCCAATGCGGGGGACACCTCTTCGGGCGCCGAGTGAAGTCCAATGTATTTTTTTGCTTTCAATGATTCGTTTGTGTACTCTTGTACTTTCAATGATTCGTTTGTTTACTCTTGACTATCGCCCGCACTTATAAAAGCGAACAAGTTTCGATTTGCCTTATTTATTCACTATGTAATGCGAGGGCGCTAGGAAGGGTGCTTTAAAATTATATCCGTTTTCGTTCGAAGGGCGCAAGGTTGGGCTCTTTACCGGACCCGTCTGTCCAAACATCATTTTAGTCGAAGGGCGCGAGGTTGAGCGCATTGGCTTGTTGGAAATGGCCACATTAAGACAACATGGATGGGCGCTTAATAAATATGGGCACTACATACATAGGGCGCTTTTGACATGTTACGGCGCTACTACTTTAGAAGCTTTGGACACGATACAAGCACTTCTCAACACCACACTTGTGACCCACAAAAAAGATGGAAAAAGTAAATACTGCTATCTTGGACCTCAATACCACTCATTAATCAAGGAGAGGCGCCCAAGCATGGTTGGTAGAGACGCGAGTTTTGTGTATTCTATGTCCTCTTTACCGACTTGCCATCGAGGTGTTCCAACTTGAACGTGCCGGCGCCCACGACCTCGCGAACATGATATGGACCTTTTCATTTTGGTGCCAACTTTCCTTCCTGGGAGTCTAGTCAAAAATCACGTTTGAGAACCTTGGTGCCAATTTTGGTGCAACTTGCTTTTTCATAGCCTCTAGGCGTACCGAGGCCACCTCGCGCCTCTCGTCCACCAAGTCTAAATCACCAACTCGCTCCCTATCATTGTTGGTGGGGTCGTAATGAGCCACCCGATAGCTTGGAATACTGACCTCGATTGGAAAGACTGCCTCCTTGCCATAAGTTAGGGAAAATGGTGTTTCACCTGTGGATATCTTGTACGTCGTCCGGTGTGCCCATAAAACACTAGGCAACTCCTCCACCCATCTGCCTTTGGCTCCTGTCATCCTAGTATGCAACCCATGGAGGATACTTTTGTTGGCCGCCTCCGCTTGTCCATTAGCTTGAGGATATGCTACTGACGAGAACCACAACACCACGCCATTCTTGTCGCAAAATTCGACGAACTTTGTGCAATCAAATTGCTTACCGTGGTCCATAATGATGGACTCGGGAAGGCCAAAGCGAGTGAATTTGTTCTTCCTGGTGAATTCGAGCACCTGAGCCTCAGTGATGGTGGCCAATGGCTCCACTTTGGGAAAGGACCCGAAAGATCCATGCCCCATTGTGCAAATGGGTAGGCGCCTACGTTGCCTTGCATTGGTGCCGCTGGTATGTTGATGTCATTTGCGTGCACCTGGCACTGATGGTAGGTGTTGACATGTGCCTTCGCATCCTTTCTCATCGTCGGCCAGTAATACCCTTGTCGCAACAATGTCTTCTCCAAACTTCGAGCTCCTGCATGCATGCTGCATGATCCGCTGTGCACCTCGTCTATGGAATTCTTGCTTTCCTCTTCGGTCAAGCATCACAAGTATGTTCCCGAATGGGATCTTTTGTAGAGCCGACCTTCTATAATGCAGCATCAAGCCTCCCTTTGACGGAGGCGCCAAGTCTCTCTTGAGTCTTCGAGAACTATGTCGTGGGTTAAAAACAGCTCTATGGGTGCCATCCAACCACCACTTGCACTTACACTGGTTCAGGTGGCCATCTGACGTTCTTGTGGCATCTCTCTTGTGATGATGAATTTTCGTTCCTCAGCGAAGTCGAGAGCGATTGCTAGTATTGACAAGGTGTCTGCGTGGGCGTTCTCCTTTCTTGGAATATGCGTGAACACGACCTCGCTAAATCAGCCGCCCATCTCTCTTACCCTTTGTATATAACTTTCAAGCGCATCTTCTTTGACCTCGTAAACCCCTTTCAACTGGCTGATTACGAGAGCCGAGTCGGACTTGACTTGCACCTTCTGGGAGCCCAACTCACTGGCCATATGGAAACCAGTGATGACCACCTCATACTTAGCAGCATTGTTGGTTTTCAGCAATGCAAAGCGTAGTGAAATCTCATGCATCGCCACCATGGGTCTAATGATCACGATTCTTGCCCCAGCCCCGGTGCGGCTGGCCGCTCCATCCACTTGCACTTGCCAAGTGTCCTCGCCATTTGTTTCAACCGCCACCACTCTTTGCCGCTCCATCCACTTGAGCCTTTATCGCTGGCTAGGGTGCATACTGTATGTCAAACTCGCTCAACTAAACTGCCCATTTGACAAGGCGCCCCGCCACGTCCATTGAACCCAGCGAAGACTTCAAAGGGAGATCAGTGAGCACAACGATGGAGTGCACCTGGAAATATGGTCTCAACTTGGTTGCTAACGTGACGACCGCCAATGCGGCGCTGTTTATGGGTGCGTACCACCTTTCTTGTGCAACCATTGTTCGGATGACGTAGTATACCGACTTCTCTTCTCCCGCAGGCGCCGCCCGCGAGACTACGACTGCACTCACCAAATTTTCGCAGACGAAAGTCTCCCCAACCCGGGGCGCCGTCATCACAGTTGGTGTGGCAAGTAGGCGCTTCAGTTCCTCGAATGCTTCATCGCACTCGGCGTTCCAACAGAAACACACTGCCTTCTTAAGTGTTGGAAAGAACAGAGTCGCCTTATTGGTCGACCTTGGTATGAAGTGCTCCAACGCTGCTAGCCTGCCCGCTAGGCTTTGTACCTCCTTAGGTGTTTTTGGAGGCGATAGTTTGACAATCGCATCCACTTGTTTTGGGTTTGCCTTGATGCCCCGCTTCGTTATCATGAGGCCCAAGAACTTTCTGCACAATCTCGAACAATTCCCGTAGGTCGCCCAAGTGATCTCCCCGCTTGTCACTTTTCACTATCAGGTCATCCACATAGGCTTCCACATTCCGTCCTATTTGGTCACGAAAAACATTGTTAACCATGCGCTGATAAGTGGCGCCAGCATTCTTCAACCCAAAGGCCATAACCTGGTAGCAATAGTTCCCGAAAGGAGTCATGAAAGCCATCTTCGCTTGGTCCTCCTCGGCAATGGGGATTTGGTGGTATCCCAAGAATATGTCGACAAAGTTGAGCATCTCATGATAAGCGGTGGCGTCTACCAACTAGTCTATGTGGGCCATCTGGTACGCATCAGTAGGGCATGCTCGATTGAGGCTTTTGAAATCGACGCACATCCTCTAATCCCTCAACGGCTTTGGCACAAAAACCATGTTCGATTGAGGCTTTTGAAACCGGCGCACAACCTCCAAGCAATTTGTCTACTTCTGCCGGAGTGTCGCCTCCTTTTCTTGTGACAGATTTCTTCGCTTCTGCTGGACATGCTTCATTCCTTTCTCAACCTCCATCCTGTGGAATGCCGTTTCAGGCGCAACACTAGGCATCTCCATGGCGCTCCACGCGAAGAGTTCTCTGAACTCCCGCAACAGGTCGACCAACCGTTCTCTCATTTCCTCGGGTGCTTGTGCCTATACCCGAACTTGCTTCTTGGGACACCCTTCTTCCACAGAAACCAGAAGATCTTCATCTGCGGCCTCGGCCCATGGCTCCCCCTCCGACGTAATGTCCACCACATTAACTCTCTCGTCTCTACATAGACGCTTATCTCCCGTCTCTCGGGCATAGCGTGGGGCGCTTCCCCCTCAGATCACCCCCACTCTTTGAGGGGAAATGAACTTTACGATCTAATGGCAAGTGGATGCCACTCCGTTGAAGAGGGCTAGGAAGGGCCTCCCAAGTATTGCGTTGTACGGGGAGGGACAGTCCACTATTCCGAAGTCTGTGGCGTGAGTGACCTTCTGCTCCTTGTCTTCCAGAGTTATAGCCTGGCGCACCCAGCCGATCACCCTTGCAGGGCCCCTAGAAAATCCAATTGGCACTGAGTTCGAGGGTTGGATCAAATCTGTCGACAACAACATTTGTGCCACCGTGTCTTTAAACAACACGTCCATCAAGCTTCTTGTGCAAACGAGCATCCGTTTCACCTTGCAACCCGCCACCACTCCTTGTATCTCCAGCGCGTCCATAGATGGAAGCCTACATGCTTCCTCAGGTATCTGGTTGAAGCGGATGCTATTTGCCTCCTGGGCACTGTCACGACCCAAAATGTCGTGACCAACACGGTCACGACATTTCGGGTCGTGACAGCACCCACCGATCTGCCCTTAAATGGCGTTTTGCTTCCAATTTTTCCTGCAAGTCGATCAACCCTGTGACGGACTCCACCGTGAGCCTCACCCACTCGGGCGCCTTATCCTGATCGTGGTTGTATGGCGGTGAGGGCAACTATACCGTCTTCAATTCTGCCCTAGCTACGGAAGCGCGGTCCGTTTTCTCTTCGGCTTTTCTTACGAAATCGTTGATCATTCCTCTGTCAACCAAGCCCTGTAGCTCCATCTTTAGTTTATAGCAATCGGCGGTATGGTGCCTTCTCTCGTGGTTGAAATCAGAGTACCGATCCATATTCCGCTCATTGGGCTGCCATCTCATTGGTCTCGGTCATCGAACATGATATCGCTTCTCCTTAACGTACTGGAGCACGTTCTTCAGCGTATCGTTAAATTCTGCGAAGGAGCCGCATGTCTACCCTTCTTGCAGTCGCATAACTTGCGGGAGTATGCACCGGCCCCGGGGGAGGCATCTGCATCCGTAAATTATCGCCCTCGTCTCCTCTCGTTCGACACCTATCCGCT